AGAATTCCACCCCATTCCTGTTTACTTTTCCCAGAATTCCATCCCCATTCCTGCTTTTTGCCTCTCCCCAGGGGCCGTGGCCGAGTCCCCTCGTCCCTCCCCATTCCCATTTATTTTTCCCAGAATTCCAGCCTCATTCCCATTTATTTTTTTCGTGTTTCCCGCCCCACTCCAGGGTTTTTTTTCCCATAATCCTGGCCCCATTCCCATTTATTTTCCCCATTATCCCATCCCCATTCCCGTTTATTTTTCCCTGTTTCCCGCCCCACTCCAGGGATTTTTCCCTCATAATCCTGGCCCCATTCCCATTTATTTTCCCCATTATCCCTCCCCATTCCCATTTATTTTTCCCTGTTTCCTGCCTTACTCTAGGAATTTTTTTTCCCATAATCCTGGCCCCATTCCCATTTATTTTCCTCATTATCCCATCCCCATTCCCATTTATTTTTCTCCCCAGGGGCCGTGGCCGAGTTCGTGGCCGAGTCCCCGAGTCCCTCCCCATTCCCATTTATTTTTCCCTGTTTCCCACCCCACTCCAGACATTTGTTTTCCCATAATCCTGGCCCCATTCCCATTTATTTTCCCCATAATTCCCACCCCATTCCCGTTTGTTTTCCTGTCCCCAGGGGCCGTGGCCGTGGCCGAGTTCGTGGCCGAGTCCCCTCATCCCTCCCCATATTCCCATTTATATTTCCCCGTAATCCTGGCCCCATTCCCATTTATTTTATCCAGAATCCTGGCCCCATTCCCATTTATTTTATCCAGAATCCCATCCCCATTCCCATTTATTTTCCTGTCCCCAGGGGCCGTGGCCGTGGCCGAGTTCGTGGCCGAGTCCCCTCGGCTGCTGCGCCTGGACCTGCGCGAGAACGACATCAAGACGGGGGGGCTGATGGCGCTGTCGCTGGCCCTCAGGGTCAACCACTCCCTGCTGCGCCTCGACCTGGACCGCGAGCCCAAGAAGGAGGCGGTGGGCAGCCCAAAACATCCCTGGCATTCCCAAAAAATCCCGAAATTCTGGGAGTTTTCCTGAAATTTTGGGGATTTTCTGTGAATTTCCGTGGTTTCGGGGCGTTCCCGGAGTGGGAAATGGCACCTGAGGTGTTGAGTGTCAAGGAGTTGGGGTTTGATTGTGAGTCCAAGAAGGAGGCAGTGGGCTGCCCAAAACATCCCTGGCATTCCCAAAAAATCCTGGGATTTTCCTAAAATTCTGGGAATTTTCCTGAAATTTCCACGGTTTCAGGGCGTTCCCGGAGTGGGAAATGATGCCTTGAGGTTTTGAGTGTTGGGAGTTTGGGATTTGATCCCAAGCCCAAGAAGGAGGTGGTGGGCTCCCCAAAAAATCCCTGGCATTCCCAAAAAATCCCGGGGTTTTCCCAAAAAATCCCCAAATCCTGGGAATTTTCCTGGAATTTCTGCAGTTTCGGGGGGTTCCCAGAGTAGGAAATGGCACCTGAGGTTTGGGATTTTGGAATTTTGGGATTGGTTTGAGGTGAGGTTGGATAATCCAGTTTTTTTCCTGGATTTTTCCTGGAGGTTTTTTGGGGTAACGGATCATTCCCAGCTCTGGGAATTTCGGGAATCTCCAGGATCCAATTTTTCTGTTATTCCCACATTTTTTGGGCTCTTTTCCCCCAGTGGGAAAAACCCCATTTTGGAGGTGGAGATTCCAGCAGGAATTGTGGAATTCTGGGAATCCCCATTCCCTGGAATTCCCAATCCCAAAACCTTTTTTTGGGGAAAAAAACCCCAAAATCCCACCTCTCCCTCTCTTAAAGGGCCAGCGCTACCAAAACTCTCCTTCACCAGGGGGTTGCCACAGAATTCCCGTGGGATTTTCCCGACATTCCCGAATTTTTTTTGCCCCGCAGGTGAAAAGTTTCCTGGAGACGCAGAAGGCGCTGCTGGCCGAGATCCAGAACGGCTGCAAGCGGAATTTCGTGCTGGCCCGGGAGAAGGAGGAGAAGGAGCAGCAGCAGCTGCAGCACTCGGCCTCCATGGCCGAAATTCCCGGGAATGATCCCGAGGGAGATCCCGAGGGAGATCCCGGAATTGCTTCCCGAGCCCCCGAGGAGAACGGGAACGCGGCTGCGGCCGGAGATTCCAGCTCGGACACGGAGGAGGAGGAGGAGGAGGAGGAGGAGGATGGGAAGGGCTCGAGGGAGGCTGTGGATTCCGGGAATTCTGGGAATTCCGGGAATGCCGAGCGCAGGATTTCCGTCTCCAGCCCCGGCAGAGGCCACAAGATCTTCGTGGTGACGCGCGTGGAAAACGTTCCCGAGAAATCTGGGGCTGTTCCCGAGAAATCTGGGGCTGTTCCCGAGAAATCTGGGGCTGTTCCCGAGAAATCTGGGGCTGTTCCCGAGAAATCTGGGGCTGTTCCTGAGAAATCTGGGGCTGTTCCTGAGAAATCTGGGACTGTTTCTGAAAATTCTGGGATTGTTCCTGAGAAATCTGGAACCGTTCCCGAGGGATCCAGGGTCGTTCCCGAGGGATCCGGGATCGTTTCAGGGGGATCTGGGGTCATTCCCAAGGACTCTGGGACAATTCCCGAGGGATCTGGGGCCGTCCCTGAGGGATCCAGGATGGTTCCCAAGGAATCTGGGACAATTCCCGAGGGATCTGGGGCCGTTCCCGACGAATCCAGAGTCATCCCTGAAGGATCCGCGACGGTTCCTGACGGATCCGGCGCCGTTTCCAACGGATCTGGGACAATTCCTGATGGATCCAGGATTCCTGACGACACATCCAGGATTGTTCCTGATGGGTCCAGCACCGTTCCCGACGGATCTGGGATTGTTCCCGAGGGATCTGGGATTATTTCTGGCAGATCTGGGGCTGTTCCCGATGGATTTGGAGCCATTCCCGACNTCCGTCTCCAGCCCCGGCAGAGGCCACAAGATCTTCGTGGTGACGCGCGTGGAAAACGTTCCCGAGAAATCTGGGGCTGTTCCCGAGAAATCTGGGGCTGTTCCCGAGAAATCTGGGGCTGTTCCCGAGAAATCTGGGGCTGTTCCTGAAAATTCTGGGATTGTTCCTGAGAAATCTGGGGCTGTTCCCGAGAAATCTGGGGCTGTTCCCGAGAAATCTGGGGCTGTTCCTGAGAAATCTGGGACTGTTCCTGAGAAATCTGGGACTGTTTCTGAAAATTCTGGGATTGTTCCTGAGAAATCTGGAACCGTTCCCGAGGGATCCAGGGTCGTTCCCGAGGGATCCGGGATCGTTTCAGGGGGATCTGGGGTCATTCCCAAGGACTCTGGGACAATTCCCGAGGGATCTGGGGCCGTCCCTGAGGGATCCAGGATGGTTCCCAAGGAATCTGGGACAATTCCCGAGGGATCTGGGGCCGTTCCCGACGAATCCAGAGTCATTCCTGACGGATCCGGCGCCATTTCCAACGGATCTGGGACAATTCCTGACGGATCCAGAGCTGCTCCAAATGAATCCGGAGCCGATCCCGATGGATCTGGGGCTGTTCCTGATGGATCCAGGATTCCTGACAGATCTGAGGCTGTTCCTGATGGATCCAGGATTCCTGACGACACATCCAGGATTGTTCCTGATGGGTCCAGCACCGTTCCCGACGGATCTGGGATTGTTCCCGAGGGATCTGGGATTATTTCTGGCAGATCTGGGGCTGTTCCCGATGGATTTGGAGCCATTCCCGACATATCTGGGGCTGTTCCTGACGGATTTGGAGCCGTTCCTGATGGATCCAAAGTTGTTCCCGACGGATCTGGGGCCGTTCCCGACGGATCTGGGGCCGTTCCCGACGGATCTGGGGCCGTTCCCGACGGATCTGGGGCCGTTCCCGACGGATCTGGGGCCGTTCCCGATGGATTTGGAGCCGTTCCCGAGCTCCCACGCGCGGCTCCGGCCCCGATTCCCGAACTGTCGCCGTCCCCCCGGGCTCAAGGCGGATCCGGGGCAATTCCCTGTGGGAGCCCTTCCCGGGATTCCTCCCTTCCCAACGGGCTCAAGGCCGATTTCGCTCGGGCGCTGCCGGAGCCGGGCCCGGAGGGCGACGGGAAATCGGGAACGCGCGCGGCCGAGCACGGTGAGATCCCAAAAATCCCCAAATCCCCAAAAAGGGTGTTCCCGGGAGTTCGGGGATCCCGGATTCCTGGGGGGTCCTGAGATCCCAAATTCCTGGGATCCCGAATTCCACAGGGTTCTGAGATCCCGAATTCCAGAGATCCCAAATTCCTGAGCATTCTGAGATCCCACATTCCTGAGATCCCAAATTCCTGGGGGGTTCTGAGATCCCAAATTCCTGAGGGTTCTGAGATCCCGAATTCTGGACATCCCAAATTCCCAGGACCCCAAAATCCTGAGGGTTCCGGAGATCCCAAATTTCTGAGATCCCAGTTCTGGAGATCCCAAATTCCCAGGGGTTTGGAGATCCCCCAATTCCCAAGAATTTCCTGGAAAACCAGGAAAGGAGCAGGAATTGGGGTGAGAAAACAGGAAAAGCAGCAGGAATTGGGGTAAAAAACTGGGAATAAAGCAGGGAAAGCCGGGAAAAGCAGTGGGAATTTGGATTAAAAAACGGGAATAACGCAGGGAAAACTGGGGGAAAAAACCGGGAATGAATCGGGAGAAGGCGGGGGAGGAGCTGTGGTGGCCGGGTTGGGAATTCTGGGCGTTGGTTCCGGAACTTTCCGTGTCCTTTCCCGCAGAGCTGAGCTGCTCCCGGGACGAGCAGGGGCTGCAGGAGCTGCAGGGGCTGCAACAGCTGCAGGAGCTGCAACAGCTGCAGGAGCTGCAGGAGCTGCAGGAGCTGCAGGAGCTGCAGGAGCTGCTCCTCGAGGCCAGCCAGGACCCGGCGCCGGAGCCGCTCTGAGCCAGGTGAGACCGGGAATAACCGGGAATTCCGGCCGGGAATAACCTGGAATAATCAGGAATTCCGGCCGGGAATAATGAGGAATAATGGGGAATTCCGGCCGGGAATAATGGGGAATTCTAGCCAGGAATTCCGGCCGGGAATAGCCAGGAATTCCCGGGAATATCCCAGAATTCCAGCCGGGAATAACCGGAAATAATCTGGAATTCCGGCTGGGAATAATGGGGGAATAACCGGGAATAATGGGGAATTCCAGCC